ACACACACACACACACACACACACACACACACACACACACACACACAATTTAACAGATAAATCAAATCATAAATAAAACATTGTTCATATATCTGGTAGATATATGACAAAAAGCTCACCAGGACTATTTTATCAAGAAAAGGCAAATGAATTCCCAATGAATTATTATCACACACCCAGTAAGTAGGACTATTATAACAAAAAAAACCCTTGGACCTTTTTTATGGAATATGATTTCACATAGTCATTATATAAAATACTGTGAAAGTTGAACCCAAACAAAGTAAAATTATGGTCCAGTCCCACAATCCTACTTGTAGGTAGACAAAGGAAATGAAATGGGTATGTTGAGAAAATACCTGCACTCCTGTGTTCAATGCAGCTCTATCCACAGTAGTCAAGACATGGAAATATCAACATGGCCATCACCCGATGAACAGGTAAAGTAAATGTCGTCCAAATGCATAGCTATTCAGTCATACTATTCAGCCATACAAAGGAAAGAAGTCCTGCCATTTGAAACAACATGGATGGAATTAGAGATTATTACAAGATGTGAAATAAAACAGGCATATAAAACCATGTGTAGAATGCAAAACTATTCACCCCCTAGAAGTTGAGCGCTGCATTGAGGGAAGAGAGGGTTGGGGAAATATATCAGAGTTTGCTAAGTTATGTGTAGACAGGAACAAGATGCTCTGCTGTTACAGCTCAGGGCAGTGACTGCAGACAACAGCCATGCTACTGTGCATTTCTAAAAGCCAGGGAAATGGTTTCCCGTGTGGTCATCACAAGACAAGATCCTTGAGCTGATAGATAATGTTTGTCCTGCCTTAAGCATTACATACTATAACATGCACCAATTCATTATAGTATACCCCCATTAGTATGTAAAAAAATCTATTTTTATGTTGTGGTTAGGATAAATTTAAATAGAAAAAAATAATGAGAGCTGGTACATGATCTCACAAACCTTTCTCCCAAGAAGAGAACTTGAGTTTCTCTCTTGTCATTTTCCTATGTCACGTGTTACTAAGAAAGTGGCAGGAAGCATTGGGAAAGGAGTGTCACTGTGGCCTCAGAGAATGTGAAGAACTTCACAAAGGCAGGCTATGAGGTTACAGGATAGGAAATGCGATATTCCCACATGAGGTAGACAGAGTGAGACAGGAGGGCAAGCATTGCCACCAGTCTAAGATACCCTAACAGACACTAGGGTGTGAGAAAACTAGTGGGGGACCTATCTCAAGGAAGATGCTGAGAAGAGGAGGCATCTCGCTCAAGTCTCTCCCTAAGTCAATAAATAATTCATTCTATACCACTGCGGAGCTGAGCACGGTGGGTCAGAAACAAAACATCATTGATGCGTAGCTGGACAACCAAGTTTAAAGGAATGTTTGCTCTCTCTCTCCTGTCCTCACCCCTCTCTCGTGTGTGTGCGTGAGAGAGAGAGAGAGTAAATAAGATAAACCTGAATCTCTTAAAATGTGTAGTGTGTGTGAATCAGACATCTTATTTTCTCTCAATATTTCCCCTCAACCCCTCTCCTTACCATGTACAAAATACTCAGTTGTAAAATGCGTATTAAGTACAGTGACCTTTCCTCTGTCGCTGTAAACAATCTTTCAAGAACCAACTAATATATTCTGCATAAGGAGCCAGGAAATTAACCTCCAAGCTAGATGTAGAACACTAGTGTATGTCAGCCAGTGACACCGCTGTTTGTCAAACCAGCTATTCATCAGGACATCAGAATGTCCAGACAAATGGGACGTATTACCCTGGCAGCAGAAATTTTAAAGTGTTCAAGATGGGCTGTTTCCCTCATTTGTGACCTTAATACATGACTGTATGGCTGCACAGAATTATTTCTGCATTGAAATTGACCCTAAATGTTTTTTTAAAACTGAAGTTCTGATCATTGATTGCAGTACATAAGCCTGGAATTGCTTTCATGCTCATTTAATTATGTGAGAGTTTTATCACAGTGTCAAATGGAGCTTAGATGGCAGATGGAATCTTTGGCTCTACAAAAGGCTGCAGTCGTGCTTTGTTTCAACCGGGTGACGCTTTCACCTGCATCTCTCAGTCATGGAGTCAGGCATTTTAGAAGAATGATATCTGGGGAAATAGCATAGTAAAAATGTATTTCAAAGTAAAAGAAAAACACTACAGTGTGTTTTTAAAAGGTATTCATTTCATTGCTACAGAATTGACACTAGGATAAATTTGTTTGGGGTTTCCAGTGTGTGTGTGTCTACGTGAGTGAATCCCAGAAATGTGCTGGTCCTCATAGAGGCCAGAAAAGGGCACTGGATCCCCTGAAGTTGGAGTTACAGGAGGGTGAGAAGGACCCCAGCTTGGATGCCTGGATCCAAGCTCAAGTTCTCTCTAAGAATACCAAGTGTTTTTAATTTCTGAGCCATTTCACCAGCCCCATTCCACGTAATTGTTAAAAATACAAATTCTCAAAAGATAAAAGATTAAAAATAACAATATCAAGTGGAAAGAAAACTTTCTTTCCATATTCCCTTTGATTCTTATTAGCAGCATAAAATTAATGTCTTTTTTTTTACAGAATTGGGCTTTATTCTATGTGTTTTATATAAAAATTATATATGTTTAATAGTTGTGTTTATGTAAAACTTCTGGTTCTATATTTGACATGTGTGACTAAAACCGAAAGGTTACGGTATGATTACTGTTATTATTTTTGATGTTCTGCCCTATACTACATATTAATCTATACATAATTAATTTATAAATTGTATTAAAATTTCACATTCCCACACATTTCCTGCAGTTTATTTCCAGTAAGAACTAGGCCTTCCCACGGAGCCTGCTGGAATGGCAAACAACATTCTTAGCAACAGGTGCCATCATATCAGAACTTGAACCTGAACATTTTGCCCACTCAGACTTTTGACCAATGTTCTGTGTTCCCATCAAAATTAGACAGAATCAAACTCAGAATATGTCTATGCTGGATGAACTCAGAGAGAAGGCTGTAAAGGGTGTCTTTCCAAGGGTACATGTAGTTTTGAAAAGACAAGCCCAAGTGATTTTAAATGAACCACTAAAGGAATAAGCGCCATATTTAATAACATATTTCTAAAACATTGACTTTTTCCATTGAATTTCCAAGAATGTTTACATGTCATTTTATGTCAACTTCATTTAAAAATGGTTAGCAGTTCAGTTGTTAACAAGCCAAATGGCTTTGGGTCCATTAATAAACCAAAAGTGAATACTAAGTATTAAAAGACTTGGAAGCACTGGTTAGGTTTTCAAATGCAAACAAATTGATTCTAATTTAGCTAAGCTTGAATAAAATAAAACTTGGACAAACGCAGGCACAAAAGTCTCTTAATACATGATGCTATTATTATTTAAAATACTTTGTTAATGGCTCAGAATTGGTATTTTAATGCGTTCCCACATGTCATGGGATTGTCAGTTCATTCATGGAAACTTCATTGTCCAAAGGAATCCATAGTAAGTTCACAGAGAGCTTCAGAATGTATGGAAACAGAAAGCACAGAAATTGATTTGAATTTGTCATGCAAATTCCACTCCATGCATGAGGTGGTTTCAGACATGAGAATGTTTACTATATTTATGAGTTATCACTGTATGCTCCTGAGAGCAGATATGATTTTGGCAGCGGAACTCAGCAAAACTTTCTGTTGTGTATGGAAGACACATCCTGTTTGGAACACTGGGTTAGACTGTCATTTTAAACTAAGAGAATTTTCATTCCCTGGCTCCAAAGAATTCCATTGTATTCATTTCTAATTATTTGAAGAGTTGGAAAATTATTCAGTAAAAAAAAAGATCTGCTATGTATATGCAACATCATGTTTTTCTATTCCTAGCTTGATTTCACATTACTCTGCAAATTCTTCTAGGTAGGAAAAAATAATTTTAGGCTAACCCGATCAGTTTAGGCCCTGAGTTCCTGTATAACTCAAGGGATTATTTTCCTCTTTTTTCATTCAGTGGTTTGAATTTGGGTCTTGGAGGTGGCAGGGACCAACTGTTCTATCTTTTCCACTTGGTTGTGGCCACTGACATTTCTGCACCATAGTCAGCACGGGTCCTTGCCTTTCTGGAGATGATTGCATGTGTGCCAGACTCTCTTTGCCTCTCTGAAGAAGGCCTACACATGTGTACAGCTCTTCCAAACACCCTGGTCCTTGCTCTTTCTAATAAATCAGGGAGAACATTCTACAGCCTTTTCAACAAGACAGTGGGTGAGTTCTGTGACGTGGGAGAGGCTCTGGAAGACATGATACCAGTAGGATCTGCTTGAGATAGAGGTATCCAAACCTATGTGATCCTGCTATAGAATAAATGAGAGTCAGGCTAGCTCATACATCTATAGGAACGATTAGATTATTATAATAAACACATATACATAAGGACTAATATATCACTATAGCTGGGTTTCTTTCATTGTGCTCTCAAGTTATCAAACCCAACTGTTGGTTGAAAGAAACAGGGTATCTCATTCTAAATTGCTGCCATGTACTTTATAAAAACATTTAGAATTCTAATTCTAAATAATTTCTGAATTTTTTGGTAACTTTGAATGTCTGAGTCTACAAAGGACCTACAGTTGAAACTCAGAGAGTGTTCTGTAGTTATCTGAACAACTTGAATTTGGAGAAACCACGTTACACGAACACATGCTCAATAATTGCCAATGGCTCCAAGGGGCTTTTACCTTGGTTCCCTGAGGATGTTTTCTCTCTAATGCCCCTCCCTCCTTGCTGCACTCCTGCAAGGCTCTGCTCAGTTGTAGACCTCCAGGACTGTGAGTTGAAGAGGCATTTCCAACAGTGCATTGCCATGCCCTAGGACTTTTTCCTCCCCAAGGAATAAAGTCTCCTCTTTTCCTTCCGGTCCATCCACATTCTGGAGCCAACCCCAAGCGCTAGGGCCCCGTGAAGCTTGACCCAAAGAATGAATATTTATATAGTTAAGAAACACAAAACCACAAAAGTCAGCAAAATGATTGGAGACAGAAAGCTTGGGGCTTTTAGTCCTTCCTCAGACATTGCACACAGTCATTTCGGTATTCCTTGCCTCAGGTTAGCCTGTGGATTTCATAACTGTCTATGTTTTGATTTTACTCTGGTTTATTGGCTAATATTTTCATCTTTTTGGGTATAGAAGTTAGACCTCAGTTTCCTCTAGTGGTTGTTATTCAATAACTATCCGCTAACTAAAAAATGACAGCTGAGAAACAAGCATTTTTCTTTTCTTTCTTTTTCTTTTTTCAACTTGCAGGTTTTTTTTTTTTTTAAACAAGGAGATCCAACTGGAAAAGCCCTGGTGGTGTTTACTTGGCTGTTCAAAATGGTTGCAGTTGTTGGCTTAACTGTTTGGATACCTTTATCTTCCCCTTAAACCATCTTAAAGAGTTTCTGCTTTTGTATCTTTAGAGTATTAATATTTTAATACTGTGATTGTGCAATTGAGAGACTAGTTTGTAGAAGAAGAGTTCATTGCAAAAAATGGCTAAATATTAATCATTACTTCTTAGTTCATTGGACAAGTTCTTAAGTAACTGTAGAAAATTATGCTAGCTGACTGTCAAGCTTTATCTTTTATGCAAAGATAAAAAATTGGTCAGCTCTTTAACAAAAAAATCTAAGCTTTTTTAGGTATACCAAAATGTGACTTTGAGGGTTTTAGCCTGCTACTATAGCTGCAGGCCGTGCTGTAATTTGGTAAAGATTATGTCAAAGATGACAACAATCTACTTACCTTTATCCTCCTTAGCCCATCGCATCTGCTACCATTTATGTGTCCTTTGTGCAAACCTGAAATAGTAAGAAAGAATAGAAGACGAAAACATAACTAAGCAGCATGTTTAAAAGGCAAATGTTTACAACTTTAATCGATGACAGACACACACTTGATAAAACTATTAGCATGCAACTCCAGCTGCAAAAACTAAACAGCAAAATGCCTCAGCTGATAAGCAGCAAAAAAAGTAAACCAATCACATTGATCAAAAGCCACCGTAAACAAAAAAAACTATGTTTAAAGGAGTAGTAGTTTTGGTATCCATCCCTACTATCAAGTCTTTTGCTTTCTTCTTCTCCATCAAAATTTAGCTTACGTTTGATGTTAGCAAGAGTTGCATTACTGTTATTGCTAATTTTAGTTCTTTTTATTACCTTGAGGGTTATATATTGTAAAATAATTTTGGTGCCTCTAGTTAATGTTGATTAGTTGTTTTAATAGCCTATAGACCTATTTGTTATATTTTTGTAGGTTTACTTTTTTAACTATCAGGAACTTAATAACTGAGAATATTTAACATTGCTGTTGCATAGGCAAACTTACAGTGACTATATTAGTGTTACCTGTTTAACGTTAAGTCATCCTGTGAGTCCTGCGACATATTTCCTTAATAATCATCAGCCATCAAGTCTGATAGTCTCAAAAGAAATATCAGCCCTCTAAAGTGCCTTCAAGGGCGGTGATATTTAGCACTGAAAATTACAAATAGAGTTTTTGAGGTTGAGTAGCAACAACTAGCCATTGACACGGATGGTTCGTTTGTCAAACAGACTGTTAGAAACTACGCAAATGAAGTCCACGCACTCCTTCGAGTGAAAACAATAACGTGAAGAATCTACGCGATGCTTACATGTTGGATGGGATATTTAATGTGCGGGGAAACTCAAAGATTGAAGAACTAGGCATTTAGACAGTGGTAAGTGGTAATCTTACCTCTTTATACTCCATAACTCTTTCTCACGAGAGACATGCTAGTGCAAACAAGTCAATCAGAATTTGTGTTTAGCAAGATAGAGCTTAAAGGATAGTTTAAAATCCATTTATTATTCTAAATCCATTTCTTCCATTAACATGTTATACATTAGTGTTTACTAACCATGATTCATGTAACAGTTTAGTTTGTTAACTTTTAAATTATTTAACAACCAAAAGTTATTAATACATTTTAAGTATTACACAGATATCTTAAAACAGGCTTGGGTTCATTTTTGTAATTTTTAAATAGAAACCATTTTAGGCATCTCTTGAAAAAGAAATAAAGCAGGCATTTAAAGTTAGAAAACAAGGAATTCCAAATTTAGTTTTTACAAAAGCCTTCAGCTTTATTGACAAATTATGGCAAACATATTTGACAAATTGTGGCTCCTATTTAGAGAGGCTTACACATGGAACTTTATGTGTGTTTTTTTCTTTTTTTAACAAATACAGGTTAAAACACTGAACAAATTCAGTTAGCTACATACATACAGTAGCTGCTTGTTTTCAACCCCATTAAAACAGCATTTAAAAATTAAATTTACAACTTAATATTGAACATCTCCATCTAACTAACAGATATTAAAAGACAGGTTAAAACATCTTATCTACAACTTTATTATCAGCTAGTTCAAAATCATATTACAGTCTTTTATCAACCCTAAACAAAGGTTCTGTTAGTTGGTTGAGACTCAAAATCTGCTAACAGAGTCATGCTTTTTCTTACAAAAGAAAAAGAAAAAATAATACTAAAACAAAAAGGGGAAAGGCGTTTTACACACAACAGTTAAAAAAAAACAATCAAGTGATTTCATCCTACTGAGTGATTTATAAACTATGCTTGCCAATGAGATTTTCAGTCTGTTTTGTAAAATAATACTAGCGTCATTGTCATGTCAACAGTATAGGGGGAATACAAGGAATAGGTGGGGAAAATTATGAGCAGATATCCCTAGATAGAAAAAACAAACAAACAAAAAAAGAACTATTACTTGTCTTGTTGCTGTTTATGTGGAGACCAGAGGCTATGAACTGTCTTTGAGGAGGTCACAGGTGCAGAGGACCTTCAATATCTACCATAGGGGTGTTCCCTGTATCCCCCTCTGGCTGACCTTGATGGTGGTGCCTTCAGGCTGGAACGAGTTGTGGCCCATTCTTCTGTTGCTACAAGTAAGAGAAAGATAGTGACATAAAGGTGACTTCACAATGACAGATAAAGTCATTCAGGAAACAAAGGTTAACTAATGCAAAGATAATAAAAATGATCTCAACGATGAAAGCTAGAGCCTGGGACTGTTCCAGAAGGCAAGTCTATGCCAAGGATTTGTTCATATGTGGGTCTGGCAGCCATTTGAATTAAATCTTCCTGGTATTTTGCAAAGAAGAGAAAGTGTAAGTACTAAGATAAATGAACATTTTATAATGTGTTAGATTTCAATACTACAACATTTCAAAAACGGTATAAATTTAATCCGGTCATTTAATCTTTCGATACAAACTTCTAAAACAAAGTGCACATAGTAAACCAGTTGTTCTTAGTCCCTGATTATTTTGAGAATCAACTAGGATTCAAAGCAAAACAAAACAAATGTCTATTCTCTTTTCCACAAACCAATTAATTGAAACACTCTGCCATGAAGGGTCTGTGTATTGTCTCTTTTCAGCGATGCTCATTTGGTTTAGAGTGGAGATCTAGGATCCACTTCCTTAGACAAAGTGAGAGATGAGCAGCCCGCAGGGCAAAGGACGTTGAAGTAAGTGTGTAGGTACATAAAGATGTCTCATATCTTCTTTACCATAAGACACCCAGAAAGCAAAAATGGGTCTTAAGAGGCTATGAAGTGCTCTGTGACATGGAACATAGGCTACCCTATGTACCCCCAGAACAAAACCAAAAATCAAAAGCCAGCTTGGTTTTTGAGAGCTGGAAAGAGACTATAAAGTCTGATTTCCCAGAAAACGAACCAGTTCCTCCTCCCCATAGCCTATGGTTGGATTTATTGGGACAATCTATGTGATTCCAGAATCTAGCATATCTAGGTACTTCACTCAGAATTTACTCCTTTAAAGACAGACATCAGACATGGAGAAGGCAAGCACCAGAAGGAAAAATACACTTGAAAAACAGACATGTAGAATAAATGAAGATATCAACTGAGGAGTCCCCACAAAGGGCAACTGGTCCAGGCCCTCTTTCCTATGGTGCTCCTTGCAATTAGGCTATTTTTAGTTTCTAAAAAAAGAGAAGAAAATCTTAATTTCAAACATAAGATAATAACCTTCAATTTTGTAAAAGCAGTTCAACATATATCAATATTGGAGAAAGATTGCATTGACATGGTTGTTTCTGATATGGTCATGGAGACATCATTCAGATGCCTGACTATCATGGCAAATGATAGTTAAGACAAGAAATCTGTGTTCCCTATTTGAGACTGTGGTGGTCGAATGGGATGATCCCCATAGTCTCAGGCATTTGCATCCTTGGTTCACAGGTGGCAGTGTTCTTTGTGAAGGCTTGGGAGAGGTGGCCTTGCTGAAGTAGACAAGTCAGTGTAGGTGCCTGACTCTGCATTGCATTCTCTTACATTGCGTTACATTCCACACGCACACAGAATGTTTTCAACTGTGTGAATTAGCACAATGCTCTTTTTCTTCTTGCTCTAAGTTAGGAAAAGGAATAAGACTATTAACTTACAATAACTGAAACTATGAAGTTAGGCAAGGAGCAAAAATGGATTCCTACTCAGCAAATGCAGGATTTAGATTTCCCACAATGCCTTGCCTTTAACCAAATGAAACCAAGGGTTTACGTCTCTTAATTGGGGCCTTGCTTCTGTTTTCTACACAGATACAATAACCACAGTGAATCAAGGTTTGGCAGAATTATAATTTCTTTTTGTGTCCTTTTCCTTCCTTATGTCTTTCCCACTATGACCGTGTTTGCTGTCGCTGCCATTTGCAGTTGCCACGTTGCGCAATCGGTAGCAGTGCATACATGTGCAGTCTTTTGATTTCTCAAGAGTTTAGGCTCCATCAGTGCTTCCCATTGTCACAACTGCCTGTGTCCTCAAACTTTTCATGGTCAGTCTCTCACCCCTATATATCTACCGTATTTGTGACCCTATATTTTTATCAAAGATAGTTGCATTAAAATACAAGTGATCCTAAGAAGGCATTCTAACCTGAAGTAACTACGGAACCTCCAGAGAGCCAAGGTCAGAAACCAGAGAGGGGAGGAAGCAGCCCAGGCTCCTTCTGGTGGACGCTGAGAAAGATAAAGTTATAGTATTTAGAAATCCACTTGGATAGCTGCTTCTTTAGGAATCTATTTACTAGATCCTAGGGTTTCAAAAAAATTTTTCAAATTTAGTGCAAGGTTTGGCTTCGCAGCCAATTGTTTTTAGTCCCACGATGCTATTTCAAAGCCACTTAAAAAATCCTTGCAGCAAAGCTTTAAACTGCCTGTCTTTTTGTAAATAATGGAGTAGACATGGTGCTCTCAGCATCCAGGAGACTGCTGTATGAGAAACACTGGCTGGACTATAGAGTAAATGAGTAACAAATAACTTCTCAGAGAGGGCACTAGGTACATTTCTGCCGCATTGAAATGACTAGAATTCCATAGAATTTAGAACTATAAAACGATTCATATTTATCTATGGATACCAAAGTATCATCAACCTTTTATAATGATGCATGCTATTATCCTATGTTCTGCTTATGAACACTGTTAAGGACAACTCAGGGAAGAACGTGTACAAAACCTCAAATTATTATGGCACCTTCATAGCTAGTCTTTTAGGAAAATGTTTAGAAAAGTAGGGAGGAGGGAGCCATTAACATTCATCATTTACCTGAACTTAGATTGAAATCCCACATGTAGTCATCTAGAAGCGGAGGCTGTTCTGAGCAAATCTACAAATTCACGATGAGCTCAGGTGGAATTTTATGTATCCCAGGTCATCTTTTCTCTAAAGACTTTCCTAGATTAATTACATTGTATCATCTTACCTTATTTCTAAAGTGGTCTTTGAGACCTATAAGGAAAGGGACTTTGTACAAAAGCAACTGCATAGTAGCACAACATAAAGGTAAAGCACGTATAAATCCACGGTGCTACTAAACAAGGGAGGAATTTTAAAGCCAATTATGCAAAAGGAATCAAGCAGAGGCATTGCTAACAACTTGATTTTTGAGTGTACATATGTGAGATAGTGATTTTTTTAAAAAACTTACTGTTTGTTTTTCTTTGTGAGTGAGTAACATATTATCTCATAAGTTGAGCTTCCCAGAATGCCTGGAGTTCATGTAAGTCGCCTGTGAGTCAGTGTCCTTGAGAAACATTTCACTTTGGCTGGAGTGGAAGTCATTTAAGTTACTCTTCCGGTGCACTAAATGTTTCTCAGATGACCTGCACTTTCCCATCTTAAGTGCTCTGCTCAGCAGATTCAGGCCCACGAAGACTCATGCAGACCATAATAATCTGCTCTCCTTTCTGCAATGAAACTAGATACTTTGGGGAGCATTCATGGTGGGAAAGAAAAAGCTAGACAATTTTTAAAGTTGCAAAACTGGGCTTTTGTTCCCGATGCTTTAAACATTTAGTTTCTGGGTGTACATGAAACACAGGCATGAGGGGGCACTTACGAAAGCTTGGTTGGTGCCATTAAAGTACATGGAGAAGTAAAGTTTTAATATTTGGGCTCCAGGAAGTAGATATAAAACATCACATTCGGTGTACATTCATTTTGAACCAGTTCACAAAATGTCATGAAGATATTTTTCATGGGGGCTCTGATAATGTGTCCATGCTTTGATAATTCTAGATATAGCTTTGCATTTCTGAAACTCTCATAAGAATCTCAGGGGGGAAAAGGAGAGATTTAAACCTACAATAAAAAATGGCTGCTCATGCTGTTCTTTAGTGTTACACTGCAGGTCTATATTCAAAAGTCATCAGTAAGGGTTGTAGCTTGGACATGAACCATCTTAAAACTCACACTGCTAAAGCCTTGTTTGCAAGCTAATGGGCTTCTGAGATTTGATTGGCTCATCAGGACTTTATCTTCATCACCAGAATAACCCATAAATATAGTCATAGGTTGAACACACTGTATGAAATAAGTCAGTAAGGATACACCCTGGAAAGGTAAATCCTTCCATTGCGCCCTTCCAGTCTTTCTCTCTGCCTGCATTCCTTCTACCTATCACCTACTTTGCCATGATTGACAGTGGACTGAAACTCTGAACCCCAAAGCCCGAATGCCCCTTTTCTCCATTAGATGGTTCTTCTTAGGTTTTCACAGAGATGAAGATACAAATCCAGCAGGTAACCCATACCAATCACTCTTGTCAAAATCTGCTTAGGGTATCAGGAATTCTACTCACAAGAGACACATAGTTATGTGGCCGAGTAAGACTTATCCTTGCTCTGGGCCATGTCATAGGAAAGCTCCTTTCAAATATATACTTGCTGGTTGTTTCCAAGCTGGTCCCTAAAGGATTTGATAAGCTTGGAGGCTTTGCAGGTTTAGTAAGTCATTATGATAACAACTTCTGAGGACCAGCCACAGTCTCATAGATCATCAGTAAGCTCACAATTTTCCTGTATGGACTACTAGCCTCTACCTTTGAACTATGAGGACAGGGGCAGTATAGACCAGTGGGCTTAGTTAGGAGAAGAAACAGCTTTTTCCCTTTGCTATCTTACTTTGGTATGGTGTGATGATTTTGAGAAAGGGGCTCATGCTGTAGTTCAGATTTGCCTGAAATTTGCTACATAGCTCAAAATTTCTATGCCACTGATAAAGAGTCGATGTGACTCACTCTTATACAAGGAAAGGACCTAAAGATTTTAGTTAAGTATCTTCTTGTTAGAGTTCAGATCTCATCTCAATAAAAAAGGAGACTAAGCAGTCAGTTGAAGAAAGGATTAACCTTATAGAAGGTAGAAAATAAAATGGGGAATGGTGATTGAACACGATTCAGAAGCTTGTCTCACTTGAATCTAAACTGTCGTTTATTGTTGGTCCAGGTTTCATTAAAGCTGAGGAATTCATCCACAGACTTGAAAACTCATGAGTACAGCATGAGAAATAATACATGGGAGAACCAAATGGTAATATAAAGTACTAAGTTATGGCTCTTCCCTTTAGTTCACG